GTATTTTGGACGTTTCACTTGCACTGATGCATATTATGCTTTGGGCCTTTTTTCCGAAATAAACATAGTGGATGTGATGGTGCATCGCCTAGATGGTCAACTTCGCAACTGAGCCACTCTTCCCTGTGCCTGATCCTGCTTTCCTCACCCTACTGTGGCTCAGGTTCTGAAATCACCCACCACCTCCCACCCCATGAAACCTCCCCTAGGCAAGTTTAGGCTGTATTTCCTGGGTGACCCAAATCAAGAAAATATTTTTTTAAATATGGGGATATGAAGAATTTCATTGCATATTTTACAAAAACTGCTTATTGGAATTTTGTTCAATATTTTGTTAAAGTCATCCATGAAAATATGCAGCTTATAAATTCTCAGGTATTATTCATAAAAATATTTGTCTCTCCTCAGAACTGGTATGATCTAATTACTTAATAAGAAATATATATTAGGTTGACCCACATGGGGCAAACACTACAGATCAAAAATGCTCAAATGTCTGCAATATCACAAGGTTCCACCCTATATAATATATATACATATATTAAACTTCCCATTTTCCCTTGGCTGCCAGGATGCTCATGGATAAATTTTTGTACTCAACTGAAATATTAATCTTCAGCCTACACTTCCTGGTATAAGTATCTCTTACCACATTCACACTTTATATTTATTTATAACTGTTTGGAAAATACGGAGACTATAAGTACATACATTCTTTTAAATGGAATAAAATAGACTTCTGCGTACAGACAGAAGCTTGGATTTGACCATCGTTATGTTTAGTTTGCAATAGCAGCGTGTCAGAGTGATAGTGTTCAAGCATAGTACAGAGTTCTGGGGATATGATTTACTTACTGCTTTTGTAAGCAAAATTTCCTTACATTTGGATGGTCTCAATCTCTTTGAAAGTCCAATGAACTAAATCACAGTCTACAGCTGCTCCAGCTTTCTAGGTATAGACTTTGATATTCTGGTCATGGTTTACCAGCTCTTTTAGTGGATTCCCAAAGCTCTCCATGGTACTATGAAAGTTATTCAAACACTGTACTTTAATGACTCATTCATTCATTCATTCATTGAAAACATGCGAACACAATTTTAATCACCTGCTGTGTGCCATTCTCTGGGTTATGTACAGGATGAATGACAGTAAAGCAGCCAGCAAGGTAAACACAGTCCTTGCCCTTAGATATCTCATATTTTTCTTCTCTTTCTCCTCATATCTTTCTTTTTCACTAATTTTTTTAATGTGTATTTAGTTTTAAGAGAGAGTGAGAGAGAGGGACAGAATGTGAGCAGGGGAGGGACAGAGAGAGAGAGGGAGACACAGAATCTGAAGCGGGTTCCAGGCTCTGAGCTGTCAGCACAGAGCCCGATGTGGGGCTTGAACCCACTGACCATGAGATCATGACCTGAGTTGAAGTCGGACACTTAACCGACAGAGTCACCCAGGAGCCCCTCTCCTCCTATCTTTCTAAACTTGGACTAGACCACAACTCTATGAAGGCAGACACTGTGGTTAGTTCCCTTCTACCTTCAGTGTACCACTCAGTGCATATGCATTTGGTACTCAAAAAAATATTCTTAAATAAGTGGATAAATGAAGAATGGCGACCTATCATTTTATCTACTTTATCTCACAAAATACGGGGGCCTTCAGTAAAGAAATCCAATAGCTGTGTGGCTGTGACTTCAGGCCAGGCAATTTAAAAATATTTTAAAATAGGTTGCATGTGGTTTAGTTGCTGCTTTACACTTACCTGTTTCATTGTTCTGGTATCAGTTCATTAGTGAAGGAGATGGAGATTTTCTGGGCAGTAGTTTTTTTCACATCCTATTATTATCTTTCCCTGCTCCACTAAGCTTTAATCCCTTATGCTTACCCTATGGATGTTCTATAACTGTTCTCTGACTGTCCCAGACAGTCTTCACTTTTGCCTACTAACCCATTGTAATTCTCTGTAAAAAACAAAAAAAAACAAAGAAACAAAAAAAAACCTCCACAATAATTTAGGCATAATTAGGGTTGATCCCATTTTATATTTTATTCTGTATCTGTATAGAATGGTCTAAAGAGGAGATGGTAGTCTTGCTTTGAGAAAGGAAACATACTCATGTGAGTTCTTTTCGACAACTAACATTTGTGACCATCTCCCAACTTCTTGTCTTCTTTCTTGTTTGCTTTGATCTTTTGTATTTGAGATTTCCTTCCCTTTGCCGCATGTACAGGGCCATTTCCTTCCAATACCTGATTTATAACCACTTTCTCTTATAATTCATTTTAAAAAGCCACTGCTTTTTGTGGCATTTTTAATTCATTGTACGCAACCCTAAGCTTTGGCTTTGCACTTTAGTCACTTCAATTATTTATTCAAGGGCCAAGATTGCATAGTGTTTAAGAAGGCAGGTTCTGTATTCCAGCTCCATCCCTTACTAGCAGAGTGAGAGGAGGCATGTTATTACATCTCTCTGTCTCAGTGGCTTCATCTACCTAGTGCAGTGAGGATACTAATGATACTTCCCTCCTAAGGCTGTAACAAAGATTAAATGAAATAATGAATGTAAATAGCTTAGCACAGTGCCTGATACCTGTTGCATATTATTAGTATTAGTATTAGTATTAGTATTTTTACTGTAATTGTATATTAATACTACCCACCTAGATCATAAGCTTGTAGAGCCCTGGGATCACATTTACGACTTCTCTTGTATTCTTGATGTAACACCAAATGCAATAAGTACTCTAATGAAGGCTTAGAGTCAATGGATGCAAAGTGAAAAATGAATTAGTTAATGAACGTTGTAAATTCTGATTCAACATACTTTTCTCAGAACAGGAGGTATTTTTCATTGGTAGGTATACAATGTTCTTTAGTCTTCTGTCACATTGTATGATTTGTAAATCTGAAGATGCTATTTATAATGTATATTTTGTGTGTATATGCAGATTAAGAAGGATTAACTAAAACTGTAAAATAATCTAAATAGCTACCCTAAAAAAATTACCACTGGCATTTTAATGAAATGTTATTTTACAACTTTAAAGCTCATAGCAATATAATTAGTAATATGTGTAATCTTTATTACCAATCTTAATCTTTTTTATATGACTGAAAAATTATTTTATGGAGGTACAATTAAAATAATGCTAAAAATGTCAGCATAACAGAATTAAACTAAAGTAACTACTACAATATTGTACCCCAAACCAGCTAATTTAAATGCAAAATACTTTGTAAAGGCTATTTATCTGAGCTAATGCATGTTAAGGGATTTAAGGAGTAGTTTGTGTCGCTGAAATAAAAGGAAAAATAAGCACTGTACCGCAGTCTTTACTATTGTTTAACATGAGGGAAATATTAAATAGGTTTATATATAGGCCACTTGAGGAAAATGTATTAGAAGCCACATCACAGCATAGTAAATATAAAGAGGACAGGCAGGCAATACTACTTTCAGAGTCTTTTACAGGAAAAGCTTGAAATGCTTACAATTGCCCTTGTGCAATTAATGTTAAATCGTTAACTGTGATAACTAACAGAATTTTAAGGCTGTGTTTTGAAAAGGGCTTTCAAAATACTGGATAGTTGTTTAGTTGACACATGACACTGGTTAGATTTTTCTCTGAATGGTTCCTTCAATTCATAGTACTCTACATGATTATTGTTAAGTGAGAATATGGAAAGGTTTAAAAATAAGATGTTATTTGTTAATTAATTAATTAATTAATTAATGTATGGAACTCTATACTGGGGCTTGAACTCATGACCCTAAGATCAAGATCGAATCAGATGCCCCTAAAAATAAGATTTTTAAAAATAAAAATAAGTCTAGCACAGAAACTTTAAAAAATATGGAAAAGTAAAAAAAAAAAAA